TCTCGCTTTTTTTAAAATGAATGTTTTCCGATTTCTTTTCTTCATATGGTTTGGTTTCATTTTCTGATAGAGTCTCTGTTGCCAGAAGTTTTTCATAAATTACATTAATGTGCGCCGGTGTTGCAGGGCTGACCGGTGCTTCGTCTTTTCCTTCTAGGTCGACCTCGGATTCTCTTTCAGTTATCTTTTTCTTAGAGTCCGGAATAACGTACTTTTCAAAGTAGTCTCGTTTTGGGTCGACCTCTTCGAACTGCTTGATTCCAGGCCTTAGCAAAACATGCGTTTCATATATTTCTTTATATGGTACTGATGTGGCATGCTCAACAATTGTATTTTCAAAACTCTGTCCTTGAGATTCCTTAAATCTTCCTTTCCCATCTTCTTCTTCCCTCGGTCGCATGGCACCGTATTCTAAATAATCTCGCTTTGGCTCCGTTTCAACAGTCGGTTTGGCTTCGATTTCTGCAAAATCTTCGAATCTGTAAAATTTCTCGCTTCTTTTTTCATCTGGTACCGATTTCATGTATTCAGCTGCAGTACTATCATATCTATCTTCCTCAACCTCGGTAATTTCATCTTTCGCAGTTTTTTCATCCTCAGCTTCCAAAATCTTAAACTCTTCAAAATGTTCTCTTTCTTGCTCTACTTCAGATGATTTGGTCTTGGCTTCTCCCAGCTGCCCTGATAATTTCCCGCTATATTCTGTGAAGACTGCTTCAGTTGGAATAGATGCGTCCTGAACAGCCATGGCAGTCGGATGTTTCTTTTCCCGAAAATACAGGGCCTCTACTGCTTTTACTTCGCTTCCAATTTTTGAATAGTCGTATTTCGGTTCAGATTTCGGTTCAGGCTTCGTTTCTTCAGATTTCCAGGCGTCCGCTTTTACGAAATCTGATCGAGTAACACTATCGATGATACTGCCATCTCGAACTCCTACTTTTCCAGTTACTTCACTTTCATACTTCTCTTCTTCGTGATTTATGACTTTCCGTTTATCAGCGATCATTTCTTTACGTTCGAAGTCAGAGCTTTTCAAGTAATCTCGTTCAGCAATCATTTCTTCAAATGATTTCGCCTCCGTTTCTTCCAGATCATCCATCCTTCGCAATTGCTCAAGCGATTCTTCTACTGGCGTCCATGCCGCCTGTTCTTCCGATGTTTTCTCCTGATCACTTTCCTTCGACAAGCTAACATTTTCTTCCTCACTTTCTACTGCCCACGTAGAAACACCAGATTCTTCTACAAAGTCATGTCCAGGCATTATTTCGGACAGCGCTAAAGCAACTCGGCCAGGTTCCTCTCTCTCATAGTCCACTCGCCCAGCTTCCACGGTTTTGGTTTTTTCAATTATTACACCTTTCAAACCACTTTGTTCTTCACGACTTTTTTCTGTTTTCAATTCATCTAATGACCTGGCTTCGGTTAATTCCGGTTCTTGTATCTCAGAAAGCTTCTCAAGGGTTTCTTCACCGGCCAAAAACTTTGTCTGTTCAACCAGCGTAGTTTCAACTGCTTCTGCGGGAGTTTTTATAACTTCTTTTCCCACAACTATCTCTTCCTCTGGCTCAAGAGAGTCCCAGTTTTCGGAATCGTCTTGTGATATGATGAACTGTTCCTTTTTGAGTGCTTCAAAATCACCGCATACAACTGCACTTGCATACTGTTTGTTCTCGCTGTCATGTAGAAATTCGGTGCCAGACGTTTGGTCACAAGTTTCCTCATTTGTCTCTGTCAAAGCTGCTTCCACATCACGAGCTGTTTCTTCTTGCTCTTGTAATGAACCTGGAAGCTGCCTCTCTGTAGGCACCGATCTTGCTGCACATGGTACTTGGCTGATTTCTGTCAATTTCTGAGTTGACACTAATTTAAAGTGAAGTGCTGCAGCGTCTGATCCTGCTGTTTCTGATGGATAATTACCAAGTTCATCTTCCTGATGTGCTTCTGGAGATATTACACGCGAACGGGGCAATTTCTCATCTGTGTCGGAGAATTTGTGTTTCACAGAGTCAGTGGCTTCCGGCGCATTTCCGATAATTTTCGCTTCTGATATTTCAGGTTCTTCGCTGATATAATCGTAAGCAGCTGCTGCGCCCAATGCTGCAACAGCAACAGGTGCAGCCAGAACACTTGCAGCTAATGTACCAGCCTTTTTTGCAAAACTAAACAATGTTGTTTGGTCAGATTTCTTCCCCTCCTCAAAATCGCCACTTGATATTGCTGATTTTGGAAGCTCTTGGACTATACATGAATATGTTTTTTTATGATAATCCTCTGTTGTTTCCGATTTTTCCTCCACTTCCAATTCACGGAACTGTTCAAAGATACGCCCCGCCACTTCAGTTTTTGGTTGTTCGACTGCTACTTCCTCAATTCCCCGAGGTTCAATGATTGGTTGTTTTAGCTCTGAAGTGCTGCATTCCTCAAAAAGCCCTGGTTGTGATTCGATTTCACCAAATGATTTGTCTTCTGTTTCTTCTCTATATTTTGTTGCAGTAGGACTTACAAAGCTTTCTTCAGACAGCGTCAACGCAAATTCAACTTGCGTTGTTTCGTAATCCAACTTCTGAGCTCCCAATGGAACAGTTTTCTCAAGATCGTTCTTCCCAGTTTCCAAATAACGCTGTCTGCCCAAGTGCTCTTGTTGGCCTTTCCCTTCTGGCTCTATAGTCTTTGTTGTTTCGTATTCTCTTTCCGAAGCTTCTTCTGCAAATATATCTTCTTTGCTTCCTGCAAGGCTGCATTCTCTACAGGAATCCCGCTCCGGTTTTGCTTCCACGTACGATCCACGTTCAGCCACCGGTGAATCTCTCGTTTCAATTTTCTCAGCTGACAGTGATAGTATATGCTCTACAGTTGGACTTTGGCGCTCCAATTCCCGAATTTCTCCAAAATCCTTTTCCGTTATTTTGTCTTTCTCAAAATAAATGTGTTCTTCCGGCTTCTTGCCCTTAAGCGCCTTATCTCTCTTTTCTTCCAGTTCAATCTTTGAAATTTCCGGAGACTTCTTAGCCGGAGTTGACCTTTCTTGTTCAGTCAGTGTTTTTTCATGGTTTGTTTCTTGAAACTTCACGAACTCTTCTTCTGCAACTACTTTTTCTGTCCCCGAAGGGCTATATTCTATGCAGGAATCTCGTTTAGACTTAACTTCCTCAAAACTTTTGAGTTCAACACCCGAAAAGTCACCCGTTTCTTGACCTTCAGGCGGTATAAGTGCAGTGCCTTCAGCTACTGGACTTTGGTATTTTATTCCTTCAGATTCGTCAAATCTTGTCACAAATATCTCTTTCTCTTGATTAAACCCCTCGTCTTTCTCAAAGCACTCGTGTTCTCTTGGTTTCAGATCTTGAAGTGCTCTGGCCCTTTCTTGTTCCAGTTCTGCTTCAAAAATTTCAGAGTCTTTCTTAGCTGGGCTAGGCGTTTGTTGTTCAGCTGATCCCGTTTCATAGTTTATTTCTTGAAGCTCCGTAATCTTTACTTCTACCCCTGTTTCTCCAGCTTTTGAAGAGCTGTACTCTTTAAAAAGATCCTGTTCCGGCTTCCCCTTCAAAAATGGCTTGCTTTCAGTTTCTGCCAGCTCTCCCGTCCTTTCACTAGCAGTTGGCGATAACGGTGCTATGTCTTCAAGCACCGAGTTTCGGTGTTCAGTTCCTTCCAATTCTTTCATCTCAGCCACCCCATATTTCTCAAAGTAATCGTACTCTCTGGGTTCCAGATTTTCAAGTGCCATGTCCTTGCCTGTTACCATGTCTGCTTCAGAAGGTTCTAAGTCTTTTTTAGTTGTAGCTAATGGTACTTTTTCGATCAATGTTCCGTAACTTCTTTTTTGAATTCCCAAGGCTCTTTCTCCCATAACCGTTTCTTTTCTAGTTTCTGCAGGTACATATTCTTCGCAGGAATCTTCTGGCTCCTCTTCTTCAGATAAAATGAAACCAACTCCAGTTTCAGCTGACAGTGATATCATATTTTCAGCTACTAAACTCTGATATTTCGCTTCTTGGGATTTTCCAAAATCCTTTTTTTCAGCTTCTTCCCGCTTGAAAACCCTGCACTCTTCAAAGTAATCATCATCTCCGATTTTCATATCCTCAAATGTTCTGCTCTTCTGCATTTCCCGTTCTTTTTTGAAAATTTCGAAGCCCTGTTCGATTTTAGGCGATGTCTGCTTTTCGACCAGCCCAGTTTCATGCTTCCCTTCTGGAGGTTCGATAATCTTATCTTCCGCTGCCGTTTCATCCTCGCTTTCTGGGCGTCTGTATTCCTCGCAATAATCGTGTTCTGGCTTTATTTCAGCAATGATTTTGACTTCATTCTTTTGTAAACCTTCTGTTTTACGGCCTAAAGTTGGTAATGACATTGCTTGTCTATCCTTTCCACCTTGGTGATCCATTTTTTCAAACTCTTCAGAGTTCCCCCTTTCAGTTTCGTCTCCCCATTCGGAAATCTCTTTCTTCTCTAAGTACTCATGTTCTAATAGCTTTACGCTTACATTTCCTTCTAATGCTCCTGTTTTGGAAAATTCCAAATCCTTTTCTAAAGGTAATGCTTGTACTTGTTCCAGCAGTACAGCTTCTTGATCCCTTTCCAGAGATTCAGTCACCATTTCTTCCACAGATGATTCTTCGGTTTTCGAAAAGCTGCGCATCTCGGGGTGCTTTGGCTTCGCTTCCACAAATAATTTGACTTCATTTCCTGATAAATCTTCTGTTTTATCGATTTCAGATGATACTGAGTGTTTGGCTACTAAAGTTTGGTAATCCACTTCTCGAGA